GTAAAAATATGCAATATGATGGGCACACACAGGAGAATTCAACCCTTGTTTTTCCATATTTTTTGGCCCTTCCTATTTGCAGCCCACACAAAATCCATGTAGGCGCTGCCAAAACAGCGCCTACATGAAGGTTTCCCACGAAAAAGCACCTACATTTATGATGTAGGCGCTTTTTCCTTTTTCAAATGACGCCTACAGGCTGAAAAACCAATGTAGGCGTCATTTGTGTACGCCTACATTTTAAAAATAAAATGTAGGCGTAGATTTGAAGTGCCTAAATTGTGTAGGCGTCACGAAAATGCGCCTACATCTTTTTTTGATTGTAGGCGTAATTTTTGTGCGCCTACATATGTTAATACCAACACCCTTATAATTTAATACCAACACCCTTATAATTTAATTCCAACACCCTTATGATTTAATTGCAACACCCTTATAATTAATTATAAGACCCTTATAATTTATAATCAAATGCACACTCTTACATTTAATACCCTTATCATTTGATACCAACACCCTTATAATTAATCTCACCACCCTTATAATTAATCTCACCACCCTTATAATTTAATACCAACACCCTTATATATTAATACCAGCACCCTTACAGATTTGTATTCACACGTGTATAAGACCCTTATAACTAACTTGAGCGCCTACATGGAAAAAAAATGTAGGCGCTCAAAAAAAGCGCCTACATTTTATTTTTAGAATGTAGGCGCTTGATAATAGCGCCTACATTTTATTTTTAGAATGTAGGTGTACACAAATGACGCCTACATTGGTTTTTCAGCCTGTAGGCGTCATTTGAAAAAGGAAAAAGCGCCTACATCATAAATGTAGGCGCTTTTTGGCAGAAAACAACCGTGTAGGCGTAATTTGGACAGTGCCTGCATGGATTTCATGTGGGCCGCAAATAGCAAAAGCCTATTTTGTTGACCCTTTCTGCCTTGTATATAATTTTCTATGTCTTCTCAATTTTCTAAACTCAGCGGTAAATTTGAAATCTGGCGTAGTGTATGATGAACGGAAAATTTGATACCCAAGGTTGATTGGTTTCAGACAAATCCTAAGTAATTATTTTTGCCTTAGTCATTGTCATGCCCCTCTGACATCCCCTACCACATTGTTATTTTTAGCCAGAACCATGTCTGTATCCTTGTAGCACATCAATTCTCTCACACAGAGAGTTGTGAACAAATTTAAAAGTCTTGGTTGCATTTAGACCGAGCATTTTGTTGAGCACGCTTTGTGAATAATTGTTTGCTTATAGGATTGGTGGGATCCATTGTCAGCAGCAGGAGTCAACTGATCAGTGTCAATATCCCAGTTGACAAGGCAAAGACACCCCTGCTGTGGAGATCTCTTCCAAGGGGCTTTCAAGTGTCTGTCAAAAGTCCTTTGTGTGTGCATGTCAATATGCTACATGAATCCAGACACGGTGCAGGTAATGTATGAAGTGTAGATTGTTTCCTTGGAAAGATAAGGCCAGGCAAATTTTCAGACAATAATGGAGGCTTCCATGCCGGTTACGTCTATCTGAGGATCTTATTTTGGAAGTTCCTACATCCCGCTTGCTACAAGGAGACCACTGATCTAAATTTTGCTTGAGAAAATGCCTTGGATGAGCAGTTGAGATGTTCATCTTGTCTTTGTCAGGCTCTTTTCTGGAAGCTTGTTTAAGAAACTTCAATCTTTGGGGAAAGATATTTGCATTGTGAACTTTAACTCAATCAAATCCTTTAACTTTGTAACAATCTTATACATACCATTCTGAGCTCACATGGTATATTTCAAAGTTTCAGATGTTATATACCGGTTTAGGGAAATAAATTTATTCAAGTCAAAACTTAACATCCATTTATCAAGAATCTCATCATGAAGAATTCGATCCAACTTTGAATTCAACTGAATTTCAACTTCAACTTCAAGAACATGAATTGATTTATTCAGTAGGGATTCCTGGTGAATCTGATTGGTTAAAACGAAAGTTCGACGGATCAATCGATAAAGGCATGGAATTCAATTTAATGAACTTAATGGATTTATCTTCCTCGTCTGAAGCCGACTTCCATAAGAGCATCCCCACCAGTCCTGAACCGCAACCAGTCATACAGGGCAGTATTTCCGACGTGTGACACGTTGTATTTTCCCTTCAGGAAGGGCAACGGCCACCGGACACCCTGGACCAGACCGTAACCCTTCCTCCGCGTTCTTACGCACGCCATGTTAAACATAGCAGCACGTACGTTGACCTGATGGTGGCCTATCATCATTATACATATGATTCATTCCGAACGAGATGGAGCGAGGGAATAGATGCGTGCAAACTTAATGATGTTCTTGACCTTTTCTAGGCGAGAGGTGGAAATAAGATGTGAGCAAGCGGATGCAGTGAATAATGTTTGTGTGGCTTTATAACCTTTGGACAACAAACTCAAACTTACCCTCTCAATGCCTCTACTGTTTTTCCTCCCAGTCAATGCTCACATTTGGCTTCAAGATGAATAATTGACATATCATTGTGGAAGGTATTTATCGTATTACCACTGCCACAACAATGATAAAGTTATTTTAATAGAAAACAATGTATCGAATGGGGCAAAATTAGTTACACGGTTGCTCAAATCGTGTAACACAAGCTTTTGAGACGCCCCCGAAGAACCTGAGGGTCAAGACCGAGAGACCTGGTGCTGATGTCGAAAAAACTCGGACAGCTGCCCTACGGTGGGAGTTTATTTCACTGGTGGATCGTGAAATCTGAATTCTGACCTGGACATGTCAAATACACGTTACGTGAATTGACAGTCCAGGGTCGCTGGTGGCGATGCTCTAAGTACTACAACATGACTTCATTCATTTCACTTCAAAAGACTGCTATCATCTTATCATCATAGCAAACTCCAGTTTAGTCATTTCAACTTAATCACCTAAACTTCATCGGCTGAACCTACCTCTTCCTGCAGTTTGGGGCCTTTGGCAACAATGCTCAACTCGGTGAAATATCTGCAAAAGATGTCTTAAAATCAGCAACTCTACCCAAGACATCCTACCTGATTTGGTCATTTTTGGTGACATACTTTACTCAGATCCATGTGGACCTTCCTTTGCTTGACATTCTTCTCATCGTGCCAATCTACCGGTCACCATACCTGCTCTTACCGTCACTAGATTATGCAGAATGTATTTGAAAGCTTAGTCAGTGCTACTGAAGAGATTTCTGTGGATGAATCATCTCTTGTTCTCAATGGCGGAACCGATAATATGTATGTCATTATCTGCTTGTACATACTCTTTCTTTTTTTCTTACAGCTTTGCAGATATTTCTCATCTCATATGCTATCAGCCTGATCAAGATAAGACACTCTGTACACTGTAGAACCTCTTTCAGCCGACTTTTTGTCTATGTCTTCCCTTTGCTTGTCCGTATCTGCCACCAGGCTAAAATTTGCTCACACTTATACACACACAGCTGCAAGATAAATCACATGGTAATGTCTTGACTCTGAAGTAGATAATTTATTCATGGTGTAAAATAATCATCAAACGAGGAATTTGTGCCTAAGGATCTTGTATTCAAAAGAAGTGCAGAGGGAAGGAAAGATGTTATTGAGTTCAACTTCACCACACTCATGTTAAACATCATATGTACTACAAGACTACAAGTGATTTGCGCTTCTCAGAAGATCATAAGCTCTTTATTTTCAAGTCCCATGTTACCCAACACGTTTATCAAAATACCTTTGGCGTCTTCCCATTTTGCCTGATCAATGTCAAATAACGCATCTTGAATACCCCATGTCTGTTGTCAATCTACCACTGATCAAATCGGACTCCTCTAAAAGGACGCTTGAACTCAAATGATTTTTACAACTCACTTCAACAACACAAGTTATTTTGAACTCGATGAATATGAACGAAGGAACACTCAATTCATTAGGAGTCATGAATATAGGATGTTTGAAATTTTTGATAGAAGATCGAACTTTGCTTTATCAATTTCCTTTCAATACAACAAATTGAGTTGCTAACAGGGATGTGTCTCACGGGTGTATACGGCGCTAGTCTTGTTCTGCTCATGGCAACTCTCTGAGTGTGGTTACGCGGGAACCGCACCGGCCGTCAGGGCCGGGCGCATGAGACATTTGCATGAGGCACCCCTTGGGGAGGACCGAGGACAAATGAGGCCATAACAACAGATCAGGCGCTCGCGAGCGAAAATTACAAGACAACTAGACAAAACGACCCGGGCTTAATGTGCGGACGTGGATAACAGAGACACGCTAGCCACTTACCATACCGCGAAAAAACGGAAAAACGACGCGCTTCCGGATCCTAAGGTACAAAGCGCGAACCCGGTACGCGCCGCCTGACTATGTTGTTGTAAAAAACAGAAATTACGTAAAGGGAAAATAGCTAGATATGAAACTTATGTACTTTTGGATAACCGTGTTTTCTTCTTTTTTTTTTTTTCTTTTTCTTTCTTTTTTTTTTTTTTCGGAGATGAAATGAACTTAGATAATGAGACCAGTAACTTAAGAAAGAAAACAAAGCTTCACGGCTTGAAATTGAGGAGTGGGCGGGCGGGATTTTGAAAAGACTGAAGATGTATAGGAGATCTGCAGAACCAAACGTTCTTTGCACTGCGATGAAAAGAACGGACGATACGCTACTATTGGCGAAGGATGTGGTGAGCGTAGAGCGGAGTGGTTGACTGGTCAAAGGCGGTAGTTCCTGTTGGATGGTGAACCCCGGCTCTCGAGCTCGTAACCCTAAGTGCTGACAAACTGTGGTTGGTCGTACAGAAAACGGGTTTATTAGCATATCCTTCTGAATGGTGCGTATCATGACAGAGCGGCTGGTGACACCCTTCGTGCCATATCCCACTAGATTAATGAACACCAATCACGAGGGATGTGTCTCACGGGTGTATACGGCGCTAGTCTTGTTCTGCTCATGGCAGCTCTCTGAGTGTGGTTACGCGGGAACCGCACCGGCCGTCAGGGCCGGGCGCATGAGACATTTGCATGAGGCACCCCTTTACCACCCGCCTAGGCGAAGGAACCCACAGGGTAAAAAGGTGCAGAAGAGTGGTGAAGGGGTAGTGAAGGGGTGACTGTGCCTGATGGGTGTGGCGTGGGTTGGAGAGTATGAACGGGAGAAAAAAAGCCGGAAAGAAAGACAGGGCTTACTCAGGTTTAGGAGTCAAAAATGACTTGGGATCCTATATGGTTCTCCATCGACAGGGGGTGGGCCCTCGTAACGGCCAGTCGCATGATTGGGTGGTCTCGAACATAAGTCTTGAATGCTTCCGAGGACCAGCGCCCTAGATCTTGTATATGATCGAGCGGTAGACCAGCCTGCGCGAAGGCTGACGCTCCTCCTGATCGCATCGAGTGTCCTGATTTGTTGGCATTAAAATAGCGTCTGAAACAATTGAGGAACCACGATCTGGTAGGTGGCTGCCCATCCGATTTGAGAAAAAGTGGCGTGGTGTTCTTGAAACGCGCGTCTCGCCGCAGTAGGTAGCGATTGATGGCCGTGATCGGGCAAGCTCCTGGGATGTCGCAACCCGCTACGATAATCGTCGAACCTTGGAAATATGGGTCGGTTTTTGAGTGAGGGAGAGTGTATTTTGCGAAACCACCACAGCGTGACAGGGAGAAGGAAGACCGGAGTATTAGTTTGCGACCGTTCCTGTGAGATGGTGAGTCGGGCCATGAAATCTCCCCCAGCCGGTGTAGCGCGTGGAAACCCACTATGATCATCGCGGTGAACAGGAGGTCGTCGTAGGTGAGTTGTGAGGAAGATGAGACTAAGATGAGGTCTGGGATTGTAAGAGGGTCTTTTCTTGAGACGGGTAAAGAGAATTGAATTTTTACCCCTCGTAGTACTTTGCGTACGCGAGGTGAGTTGGTAGCTAGACGTATATCCGGGTAAAGGTGCTCGTAAGCAGCTGCGATCGCCGTGAGGTATCCTTGGATAGAGTTGGGGGCTAGTGGTTTATTGGTACGAAGTGAAATTGAGCGCGCAGCGTCTGAAATATATTGGCATAGGTTGTCGACAGTCGGGATAGGTGGTGTTTTCGATTTTATGCAAAATTTTAAAAAAGAGGAAAGACCTGAGCGGTAAGTGGCTTTTGTAGAATGAGCTAAGCTTTGGGCGGCGTCGGCTTCCGTCAGGAGTTCGAGGAATTGACGCCTGGTTGGTCCGGGCTCGTCCGCGTTAGCGACGATATCCACCATCTGGAAAAAAGTCTGGTTGGGGCAGTGGTAAAAGGATAGCTTGGGGGGTGATATTTAAGACAGCGTCCAGCTTGCCTCGGGATAAAGCGTCTGCGTAAACATTCTTCACGCCAGGGATGTGCGCTACTTTGACATCCGCTTTCTTTGAAACGAGCAAGTGAATTATAGCGCGGAAGAGGGATCGAACAAGGGGAATTGGGTTGTGGGATTGGAAAAGGTCGCAAACTATCATTGAGTCAGAACATATGAAAATTTTTCTCGCGCCCTTGGAGGTGGCCAGCGCTATGGCAAAGGCTACCGCTCGCAACTCCATCCAGTAGATGTCCCTAGTTGGGGGTGGCATGGCGTGGTAAAAACCTTCTAAAGTGGTGGGCGACCAGATCCCCAAGCCGGTAGGACAAGCATCGGTGACTAGCAAAGCATCGGCCTGTCGAACCGACCACGTGGAGGCTTCGAGGAAGAATTGCCCCGGTGAGGACTCGATGCAATTCGCCAACCATCGCAGGTCGTCCTGGACTTCTCTGTTCACATGGATTGGTGCGAATTTCGACGACTTGTTGACAAGTTTGTCCCACGATGATTGAAGAGCGTGCCGACCGTATGGAAATGTGTTGAGTCCCCACGACGCCCAACCTAACAACCTTTGCCAATCTCATAACCGGTGATTTGGTCGGCGTGTGAAAGATCTCAGAGCTTCTACCAAAGCTGCTTTTTTTTCAGGTGAAAGAGAAAAAGAGAGGTTTTCCGCGTTGACAAAATGGCCGATGATCTCTAGTTGTGGTCCGTGCAATTGCTTCTTCCACTCCCACGGCATATTGACGGTGTCGAAAAGCAGGAGTAGGAGGGCTTGGTCAAGCGGGACTTGTTCGCCCTTGTAATTCGTGAGGGTGTCGGAATGAGTGATCCCCCAGGTGTCATCCATTAGGTTGTTGATACGTCGAACACCAAGTTTGTTGATTGCAATCCATAGAACCAGAGAGAACACGGAACACCATAACTTTGGAGACGCAGCGGAGCCGAAGTTAGAGCAACGATCAGCGTAGTATAGGTTGCCAATCTTTATTATCTGACGTACTTGCCACTGGAGCGCCATGGGAAGGTTGCGGTACGCCCTGGCTACGTCACTTTTCCATAACAGTAGGAAACCGTTGCGTGGGTTGAGATCCGTCATGTATGGTCCGAACGAGACTAGTGAGTCGTAGGAGACTCTGGCTTTGTCTTTGTCGATCAGGTCGTTAAGGGAGGGTGAGCCGTAGCTCATGTCAGTGCACACTCTGAGTTTGTTCGATCCTGGTTTCTCTACCATGAGAAGCGGTGACACTTTCATGCCAGGTAGCAAATGATAGAAGGGAGAGGAGTAGCGTTGACCTTCGAGCTCCTCGTCTCTTGATTTTTCGAGGGCCGCCGGATGATCGTTACAGACGCTGTGGTTTGGATGATCTACGGTATCTGGTGAGGGTAGGCTTGCGAACGGCCAGAAACCGTGAGTTAGGCCGTGCATGACCGAGTTCACGAAAGGTCTATTGGGATGTTCGAGTAGGAGATGACTGAGAAGAGGTACGTCTACTGGGCAGACGATCTTGAACACCTCCGGGTATTGTTTGATGGCGTAGGCTGCGCAGGGGTCGCTGGCTAGGTCAGGTGGCTTTGGCAGGGGTTGGGCGTGGAGGCTTGCGTCGATTGCGCTTGAGAAACCTCGAGAGTTCATCCAGTCCCATTCTAGACCTCTTCGGAACTTTCTCACCGCGTTGTTCGCTTCCTCTTGGCTATAAAAAGGATCTCATGTTAGTTGCTTGATTGCATAAGGAGTCTAACGCAACAGTTGGCGCCTTGGTGGGCTTACTTGGTCAGGTCGTTTGTCACTTCTTGTAACACGTAATGGTTGGACGGCTCGTTGGCCTGGCTACGTTGAGCCGTAATGGTGTTTCCTGGTATGGGACGCGTTGCATCCGACGACGTCGCATACGTTGTGGATTCGCCCCGTTCTGCAGGGTTCGCTGCACATACCAACATTCCAGTTGCCGCATAACTGTAAATGTGGTGGTGCCCCTTTGTTCGCTACGGGCGGATAGAACAATGGTCCTGTCAGAGACCTGGTCGTAGAGTTTGGAGGTTTGGAGAAAGCTAGGTGGCTTTGCTTACGTGGTTTGATATTACCATGCCATGGCGCACGTGGCGTAGAAGACGTAGTAGACCTGCGCCTCGATGGCTGGGTAGATTCCCTAGGGGTCCTCGTGAAAGCGTTGGTCGTAGCAACGTTGTTGGACGTAGACGCACGGGATTGGTAGGATGGGAGCGTGGAGGGGTAGTAAGAAGGGGGAGGTGGGGCTGGCGCGTTTTTGAGGCAAGCGCTGGTCGCCATTTGCCTGACTGCAAGCAAGGCTGGGCTGTTGAAATCCCCGAAAGAGAGGGCCGGCCTGGTGGCAAAGGCGATGCGCAACCTGGCGTCGTAATCGACAACAAAGGACCAGTCGCCGTGTTCAGCAAAGAGCTGCAACATGTCGTAGAGGTGTTCAAGGTAGCTCTTGATGTCGTCTCCGGCTGATGGGAAGACGAACGTGATGGAGGTGCCGATGAGGTCGATAACCCTCCTCCAGTCGCGTTCAGCTGCGAACAGGTGTCTGACCGAAACGAAAGTATCGGTGGGTTTTGGCGATTTTTTAGAGTCGGTCTCGTCAGGAAACAAAACTTTGCCTGGGCAGATATAGTAGCCTCTGAGAAGGGCTGGTACGAGGCTGAAAGGGAAACCGAGCGGTCTGTTTGTCGCCAAGTTGAACCGATCGACTGAAACCGACCAACCTGCCTTTTTGTATCGAGCAACATGGTCGGCGATCGCTTGAGCTGCTGGTGGTAGGGGTTCGGTAGGCCTATCTTTGGCCACCATGAACGGGAGGTTGTCTGCAACTTCGTCGGAATCGCTCGAGCTGTCGTCTTCAGAGGATGATGATGAAGAACTTGAAGAGGGAGATCCGTCTCTCCTTCTTTTCTTACCCTTTGACGAGCGCCTCTTGTGCTTGTGTTTGCGCTTCTTCTTGTCGGATTTTGAGGCAGATGGGACTGGTGGGGCTTGGATCTCGTCGTTTGTAAGGCCGAGCGGGTTGAGAACTTCGCGAAGAGGGGGAATGACTGGTCGGATCTGTTGTCTCGCGGCGAAAGCTGCAGCGCCCGTGGCACCCAAAGCCCCGCCTTGTTGGCGAAAGTCGAGTTGTTGGATTGGCGGTAGCCTCTGAGGTGGTGGTGGACGTTGAAACTGGGGCTGTCGGGGAGGGGGTGCATTACGGGGTCTGAAATCCCTGAAAGCACCTGGGTGTAGGACAACTGGCGGGGTCTGTTCGATCTGGATTTCGGGATCTGGGATGATGCCGCCCAGCTGGAATGAGACTCTACCTCTCTCCAGGTCGAGCTCGCGGGCCGACAACCCGAAATCTGAGAATCTCGGTAGAAAATTCGGGTCGGTGAAAGGTACGATGTGAGCAAACCTGCGCCGAAGTTCCCAGATGTCGATGGTGGTACTTCCACCGCGTCTGTCGTACGTTCGCAATAACTCCGCCAGACGTTGCTGCGTTGTATTAGCGTCCCCCGCTCTATGTCCGTTGGCATCTCCATTTAGCAGTCTGTGAATTTCCATGCAAGACCTCGGGAAAAAAATATATGCAGCTTAAAGTTTAATGTATTCGTGTGCAGGGAAGAAAACAGTTGAAAATACTGATGTGGAAACTATCCCCCGATTACGAGATAAACCTTAACTGAACTATGAGAAAAGACTGAAGATGTATAGGAGATATGCAGAACCAAACGTTCTTTGCACTGCGATGAAAAGAACGGACGATACGCTACTATTGGCGAAGGATGTGGTGAGCGTAGAGCGGAGTGGTTGACTGGTCAAAGGCGGTAGTTCCTGTTGGATGGTGAACCCCGGCTCTCGAGCTCGTAACCCTAAGTGCTGACAAACTGTGGTTGGTCGTACAGAAAACGGGTTTATTAGCATATCCTTCTGAATGGTGCGTATCATGACAGAGCGGCTGGTGACACCCTTCGTGCCATATCCCACTAGATTAATGAACACCAATCACGATCTCTAATACTACGTTTCGAACTATTTTTTTACGTTTCAGAAAATTCAAGAAAGTTTTGTAAATATCAGAAAAGGTGCAAATGATTTAACAGAAGCCAATGTAAGATTAAGTTTGAATGAATTTTCAAGTCAATTGCAATTATCAAAATTAATTGGGACTCAACTTGATACAAAAGATTTAAATTGGACAAATTGGGAATATGCATGTAAATTAGAAAAAGTGAGAAAAATCAGATCTTCAAATCATTAGTTTCTTATTGTGATTTGTATATTTTTGTGGAAGGTGTGGTGGGATGGGGGTTTCAGGTGAGTTGAACAATATGTGGGCAGATATCTTTTGATGTGGAATTCATTTGAATGTATCTTAAAATTGTTTTCCCATGTGAAGATATCACTCAGGTGACACCAATCCTCCATCACATAAGAGATGATATGTCCCTCATCATATCAATCAAGATGTTCACAAAAAGAGTCATTTTCAGGGAGTTCCTCTCAGGGACAATCCTTTTTGCTCCCCTAGCTTGATCAAACATAACCTACACCATTGAATTGCCAGTGAATGGGGAGCCTCAACATATGTTTTTTCCAAATTGGGCATTCCGTGTCTGTTGTCTGACAGGGAGCTCTTTAAAATGGGCATAACTTCAAATCCAGACAAAAATCTTGGAATATACTCGATGGCATCATGCCATCGTCTGGTGCAGCTATGATGGATCCCAGGCTAGCTTTCCCCGAAAACGCCCTATAAACAAATCATAAATATCATCAATGGTTGAGATGACTAAATTTCTCAACCTACCGAAACAATCTCATTTCAAACTGGATTCACTTTCAAGCCAATCAAGCCAAGTACAGCCATTCCGATATTTCTTCTCGCTCACATTTTTGAAAAAAAAAAGATTGAGCACGAAACCTAAGTTTTAACTGGTTAAAACCTGAAAATTGGCTGTATTTCCTTGAATTACAGCCAATTTCAAAGTTTTATCGAGTAAAAACTTAGGTTTCACCGAGTTTCACTTTTTCTTTTTCAAAACGGAGCAACAAGAAATATCGGAACGGCTGTATCTTCCCTTGCAGTCAACAACATTTTTTGCTTTTTCCACAAAGTGCTTCTAATTTGAATACTGAAGAGATAAGGTATAGTGGAGTAGATCCCAATTGTGTAACTATGTATATTCCAAATAAAATTGAGAGTGAGTCTAACTTTTTGTACACTCTTTGTGTGATACCTTCAATCAATGAAACTTTAGTATACCCTCAAGCCTATCTTACAGCACATCAAGACTATTCACTAACTCCACAATATTATCTCAATTTTAACTGGCAGAAATGGTGTATGTGTGACAAAAAATATCATTCACAGTGCCCGTGGGGAAGGCCCCCAACGTCGGGGGCCCATTGGTGAGCGCATTTCGCTCCCATTTTGCTCGCGTTTGTCTTGCAATTGCAAGACAAAGGCAAGTTTCTGTACGCCTGAAACTCATGAGTCTGAGTCCAGGCGCAGGCCAATGGGTGCCCAGCTGACCTGAACACTCAGTCTTGCTGACGTCTTCATGACTGAACGCTCAGTAGCCCCAACTGAACACCTGATGGAACAACCAGGAACAACCCGTGGGATCATGGATGAGAGCATCAGGGATTTGTGAGATCCCACGTATAAATACACCCCTGGACAAAATTCCCTCGCCAAGGACCCAAGCTTGACAAGCAAAAACATGAATGTGATGATTGCAGCTCAACTCGGTGCGCCGAAAGCGCTTCACAGTTGATCCAGTATTGAGCCGTGCTATCAGCAAATCAAGCCAATGTTGTGGTCTCTCTTGATAGTTCAACCTCGCCAGCACAACACAAAATATAGTCGGACTCGTGGGATGCCCCGTAAAAGCCTTTTACAAAGTCTTATAGCCCGAGATGTATCAGACCCACTAATCAAGCAATCAGAGAACCTGATCAAATTACCACCGAATCCTTCAAATCTTTCGACCCATCTCCCAATAGTATCTTCTCAGGTCAAAGCATCTCACAAACTCCAACAACAGAACCTGTTCCAATTGTGGCCGTTGCAATGGCTTGTTTCTCAGTAGGCCTATGTATCTTTTGCTTGTTCGTCACGCTCAATCAACTCAATCAACTTAGACGTCAGCAGAAGGAGCACCCAGAACCTATTCTTGCTGAAACCAATAATAGATTGGTGTGCACCAAGAAATTGAGAAAGCCAGACTCTTTACAAGAGGAGCTGTTGGTAGACATCCAAACAATAAGGGCCCGTTCGGCTGTTTTTCCCAAAAGTCGTTACACAGAAGCGACTTTTCATTTTGCCCCGTTTGCAAGGGGCAAAATGAAAAGCTGATTTTTGGTTTTTTTGTTTACCAAACAGTCAACCAAAAAGGTCAACAAGAGATCAAAATGATCATCGTTGACCATCTGATCACCAGTTGAGTGTTTGGTAAAGATGAAATGAAAAGAAACCTTTGATTGAAACTTGAAAATCGATGAAAGCATTTTTAAACATCATCCATTCATCCATCACATGTACCATTAATTGTAAGTCTCAATCGAACAATTGTATCCTACATGGCATTTAAAAGTATTGTCATTTATATGTATCGATCAAACAATTGTATCTTACATGGCATTTAAAAGTATTTTTATTTTTATGTATCAGCCGCAATGCGATAACATTCTTTGAAGGAGGTTTTTGAGAGCCAATGCCACAAGGACTGAGGGTGTTGGGATCGCCTATATAACGCCCGGGTTTGAGCTTTCAACTCCCTGTAATCCTGGCTAGGAGTTCTAGCAATTCTACTCCCCAGTGCTTTGGTTGTTTCGATTTTAGGAGGATTTTGTTCCTTCTGAAATGCTGACACAGAATCCGACATTGGAGTATCGACTTCCACTTGAAAGGGAGACTCTTCTTCCATTTCATATGATTCAGAGTAAGGCGGCGTGCAACATTCATCCAGACTATCAGGCAAAGGCAAGTCACACGTTTGCTGCTGGGTTGAAAGCTCATCCTCGTGGAGTCTGTCTTCGTATTCTTCCGTCGTTTGGTTGACAGGACCTGGGCTCTTCCCAGTAGAGTAGTTTGACCCGTGCAGATGGGAAGTGAAATTTACTAGCGTTGGTGAGGAGAACTGGTCTTGCCCTTGGGTTTCTGAATAAAGTGCATTGCTTCCAGACACTGGAAATTCCTCGATCAAATTGCCATCAATGCTGTGATTGGGATAGAGCAGATGATTGAGGGTCTTGATGGTACAGTATGATTCTTGTAAAAGCTCTTCTAGCTCCTCCACTCTTTTTTTTCAATCCTACAGACAACACATGTTGTTATCTTAGCCTTTGTGGATGAATCTGGTACTTATCGCGAGGGAAGGGTTTCTCACCCTGGATTGTTTCATTATTGGTAAGAGAATCGGAGGAGTATGTCTCTGTTCTCTGCTGTGAAGGGGTCACATCGCAGTGATCCACTATATCCTCTCAACTGATGTTCAATTCATCGGAATCTCTCAATTCATCATAACACTTATACTATTTAAAATTCAAAAAAACACTAACTAATACTAATTAATCTGACATTGACTGCTACATTTGTATCAACGGGTATATATACAAATGTAGTTAATAATACTTTATAAGATTTAATAATTTTTTGGTTGAGAACAAAAGCTACTACATTTTTATTTAAAGGTTTCATTGATTTTTTATCTAAGATCAGAACTATATTTTTATAAGAACATTTAATACTTTTTTATTTGGAATCAGACAGTCACTGTACTTAAAGAAGACCAAACTTAATATGGATCGAGTTCGATTTCCATTGGAGATCATACAGTCACTATACTTTTAATTGAGAAGGTACATGATAGATAAAGAAAAGAATAGTTAGAATCAGTAAGTGTGTATTGAATAAATGATGAAAGACAAAAGTACTTACTTTTTTTGTTGAGGATGTATTGGAGCCAACCATCACGCTTGCTAGCCGGTGTATTGACATAAGTTTCAGCAATAAGCGGCTTTTCAGCAAATAAGTCTAAGGCTATATAGCGTTGAGTGTTTTCTAAAGATGATTGGTAAATCAAACCAACAGCTGAAGCATGAGTTGAAGGTTTGTCAGCTTGAATTTCTTGAGCTGCAGTGTTGATCAATGCAGAAGTGGAGGCAAAAGAAGATTGAATATTGCTGCTGAAATCCTTCATATCAGTGGACATCCCATCGAGTATTTGAACACCAGAACGTTTCCTTGATTTAGTCGGAGCTCGAGCAGCTAAAGCTACCTTGGACTTGTGGTGTTGCTTCGCTGCTGGAGCTTCGTCTTCAGAACTGGAGTCGTCCTTTGGCTTTGTATTGATTCCAGATACGTCGGTTTTGTCAGAAGGTGATTTGAGACCATGGGGTGAATCAGGTGGAGGAGAAGAGAAACCGTGAGGAAAGGCAGGAAAAGGGTCGGTCGTGTCTTGATGTTCAGTCAGCTTGACAATCGGGCTATCAGAAGCTGGATGATTCTTATTCAAAACTGGACTGCTAGAAGTCGAGGGGATGTCTTGAGGTTTGGTTTGATCAACGATCAAACCTTTGACATACTTCGCTGTAGCCTTGTGACCCTCCAATAGGGTAGCAATCGAATCAAACAAGGGAAATGGTCGTCCTTTGCATCGGAGGAGGTCCTTTGCCCTTTTAGTCTGCAAGAAAGAAACAAATCAGTCTATAAAAGGAAAAAGAAGTTGTGGAAGGGAGAAAGAGAAAATTTTTACATACATCTTGTTCAACAATAGGTGCCCAGGTCTGATCATCTAGATCTATGCATCCATCCTTCCACCCAGCACCACTCAACCCATTCAGATGCTTGTAAAGGGTGTATCGTTGAGACAACTGTAAAAGAAAAACAATATCAATACCAAACCAATAAACAAAGATGTAAAATAAATAAATACTTACAACATACCAGTGATCCCTGCAAGCCTTGACGGTTTTGGCTGCACTTAAATGGACTAAACCAGTAGTTTTATTTTTTTTCCTCGCTTCCGTCAAGTGCCTCCACAACCTTGTTCCAAACTGCAGTCTTGAAACCATGAGCAGTGGTAGCATTTTCAGGTCCGATCGGTGCATTGCCAGGTTGACGTTCAGCAGTGAGTACCTCGATCATAATTGAATCATCTTCATCATCCCATTCAGCCTTGATATTTGATGTTTTTGGCGTCTTGGTGATTGGTGGAGCAGTTGGCGGGTTTGGATCAGTCAATGAGATTGGGATGTCTGGTTCTAAGGTAGTTTGTGAAAGGGGTTCATGTGCTGCACGTCGGACAGCTCTAGGAGCTTGCTGTCGTGGTTGTTTACTGGGTGTGGTGGTGGTATCCATAGTGATCGCAAATAAATGAAGTTTTTTGATTGAATTAAATTAAATTGAAATTGACTTGAATATATAAGATGATGATCGAAGTAAATTGAATAAGATGATGATCAAAGCGATTTGATGACAATTGAAGTGAATTGATACTATGACAATTGGATTGAATTGATACTAAGACAATTGAATTGAATAATAAGTTGGTCAATGTGAATTGATAAAAAGACGATTGAATTGAATAATAAGAAGAGTTGATTGAGTTGTTGAGACGACGAGAGAGAAGAACAGCGAAATCTGGATGGCAAAAAGGGGTGTTGAGTGGGTGTTTGAGTTGGTGAAGTTCGAGTGGGTGGTGGGTGAGGGTGGGTGAGGTTGATTGATCGAGGTGATGGGGCAAAAGTTGCTTTTGGTCTCAAAAGTGGCCTTGAGGCCGCTTTCGAAGTCGGACCAACTTTTGACCAAAAGTCCTTTTGGATTTGATGTCAACGGAGAGAAGATCTGCGGAGCAGAACTTCCATCGTAATGACAAACACACGCAGAAGAAACTAAAAAATCATTGATACATAAAACAACATTATTTAATATACATATTAAAACCTACAACACTTTAAAACTCAGTTTCAAGAGTTGAATCCCTAAACCCCCAAAAAAGAAAAAACAGCATTTCAAGAAGAACTTGGTTCTTGAAATGACATCATAAAGAAGAAAAACGTACATGTTAAAAACCAGAATAGTCAAGGGTTCTTGTGTCTAACGAAAGAACCCTGCCTAGTCAAAGAATTAATGACGACGGCCCTTATTCGAATATGAGATAAGGGAAAAGGCTGAAACAAAGCAACCAATTTTCCGCAGAAAACTTACAGCCTTCAGAGGACAAAGAAAACTATATATCCGAGACCACCCTCGCAAGAAAGAAGAAGGATCATCTTATCATCATCTAAACCTGTATCATCGAAACGTGAAAACAAAACAAACTACCTTTTTTACTTACAACTTGACCGGATCTCAGAACGTTACAAAACTTAGAACCTTAACTATTAGCTTCTTCCTATAACCTTCTTATCTTTTCGAACAAGTTTCCTTTTTCCTCTATTTTTCATATTTTCTAAAAAAGAGTTTTGTTGCAGATCAACTTGGTAGTTCTAGTTGACCAGCGATTCTCAAATTATATCTCTCTCTTTTTTGATAAACTATGATCGGACCTCTGCTGAAGCAAGCCTTAAATATAACTGCTTTTCGTAGTAGTCAATTTAAGAAGATTTGTTCAGTGAGTGCATTGAAAATCTAACAGGCAGCAGTAATCATCCTGCACCTTAGACAGTACAACTAACAATTGTTTTCTTATCATTAACAGCTTTTTGCTCACCAAGAATATAAAGATACATCTTCAATTTATAGGTAACACACCTTTATCCCAAAGGTATATCTTTTGTGAGCAATAAAATTCATCCTTCTCATTCGAACTTCTCATCAGTTTGAAGAGCTAGGCTGACATTTGATCAAACGACCTTTACCAAACGCCGGTGTTTTTGACCAAAACCAAAAAGCACTTTTGGTCAAAAGTGCTTTTTGGTTTTGGTGTAGCTTTTGGGTTTCAGCCAAACGGGCCCTAAGGGGTTTCAAGTTACAATTTTTTATACGCTTTTTTAAAAAATCGGTCAAGTTTTATACAACAGCGTAAAAGTTTAAACTAGACCGTTTGTAAAAAGCAAGCATGTTGGATGATTATTGTCGTAAAAAGAATCAAAGCGGTGAACCTATTGTTGATTCAAGTAGCCTTGTAAAAGCATCAAGCTGTGGGGCTTGAAGATGATTTTGTGACATACAAATGGATTCACAAATTCTATTCCAGAAGCAGAACAAATGCCACCTTGCTTTTGTCACTTGGGAATCACTTTGGATCTCTTTGGATTGAGATGTTAGCAGAAAAAACCCATGGGAAATTAAAGGTTATCACTTCAATACCACACCTCTTCTTCTAGCCTTTTATGTAGTCTCCAGCTTAAAGAGCCTGCTTTGCATAAACACCGTCTCCTTGTGGCAGTTGCCCGACAACAAGCGCACATGGACTGCCTTTGAGGCACAAAGGCAACTTGTGTGTGCTTGTTGACCAGCAAACACCACATGGACATGGTGAAAGGAGGTCTTTAACAACTTGCCTGGTGGAATCAATAACTTGACCTACCATATCCTGCCTCTGAGAACTCCTGTAGATGAAAGTTCTTCAAAATCACTAAAGCACACATATAGCAGAGCTCTCAACCTTGGTCAAGTGGGAGCTAGTAGTAGCATAGGTGGCTTTAATTTTTCTGAAAATCTCTTGCCAGGCCCACTTGATTTCTGGGTGTCTATGCCAAGCTTGTAGTCTTATACATCTTCTCAGCAAATCCCAGAGCATGAAGTGAGTGAAAATCTAAGAGACCACAATTGTAGAAGAGTGGCAATATCTGTGTTACATGTGATGGCTAAACTCAGGATGGGGGCACAAAAAAAAAGACGCGCCTGGGCGCGCGCCACGCGCCCAGAAACCTGGAAAACAAGGTGGGAGCGCCCAAAAAACATGTATGCCCCATAGTGAGACAGTGGGGCTTTCCTTGTCCAATTTTTTTTGAACTCCATTTCGAGATTCTTTCTGATCATCTACTCAATCACTCCAATGCCAAAAATCAAAAAGAAGAGTGATAAGGCTCATCAAATAGCCCTGCAAACCG